ATTTAATTAATAATATTTGAATATTATTTGGAACGTCCTAATAATTAGTTTGAAGCTTATTTCGATAAGTAATCCATATTTGAATAATGTATTGAAAAGTATTGTATAAATAATATTCATAAAATAATGACAATCGAAATATCAAATTCATATTGTAGTATGCGTTAGTATGGCTTAATAGTTTAGCTGCCTGCAGTTGTATATGAATCTATTTTTTAATCATTTACACATTCGAGAGCGAAAAAGTTACCTCAACACTTTTTTGTCATTTTCTGCGGCATTTTGTAAAAAAAAAAAAAAATATCAAAGTGAAAGATGCTTTTGTGTTTACGCACACACGCATTATATCATATTTAGAGATAGTCATGCCATGTTTAATTAAACGCATGAATTTTTATGTTTGCTAATGGAAGTAACATAAGAAATATATATTTAAAACTTATCCGAATGAATAAAATTTGACAAAAATATAGAGCGAGTATAAAAGAATTATATAAATATTCGTGAAATTAGTTTCAATTAAGCCATATGCGATGATTTAAGTATTATAGATAGCAAGAAAGTGCAATGTATAAATCATTAATATCGTATTCACTATAAAATTTTTGAATGCAATATTGCTGCTAAAATCCTCCAGCTTAAGAACAAAAAATGATAGCGCGTCGCTCGGTAGCAGTTTCTTTAGTAGCAGCAGAGAATAATACACAATGCAATATAAAGATTATCTTTTCTGATATTTATATGTATATTTTCATTCAAAGGCATTCAATATAAATGGAACCAGTTTGGGCGAAAACTCGATAGACCTGGATCCAACGCGAAGACCTTGGTACATGAAAGGAGGAACCAGAAGACCTTTTCCGGCAAGGAGAGCTCGCAATACTGGCCGAAGATTGGCTCAATTGTGGCCCGAGGAAAATGTTTACGATGATCGTGTGACGAATCAGGTAATCATTGTAATTACAAATCAAGAATGTAAATATAAGAGATATTTACTTCTTTGAAAATCTCTGTTAAATTGAAGGATATCAAAAGATGTATATAACAGGATTTAAATGGTTCTTTGAAATACAAAAGTGATAAACATTTTTTTTTTTCTCCAATGTCATTAATATTTTTTAGATGCAACTATATGCTTTCATCCTTTGCGTATTATAATCGATATCAAGAGTTTAATTATAACATGACATTGAAATGCTCATTTAAATCTTGTCGTATATTTTATATCGTCGAATTATTTAACAGAGATATTCAAGTGTTCTATTTCCTCCGTGATTCCTCCTGTATATAAAAAGATTTACTTTTTGATAAATATTTCGCGCAAGATTTTTCCTAAATCTAAACATAAAAGTGTGTACTCGATATATCAAACGATTCTGTGCATATCTTAATGTCGTAAGTATTTTTGCAGTTAATGTTCCTGCCGCCCGATTACAATAGAACAGGCGGCGAGCATCCGCTGAAGAAGATAATGATTCCTCACGGAATGGCCGAGGCCAAAGTCGGTCCTGACATTTTCTTCCAACAACGTTGCCCAGTGAATACCTGCACGATCGTCCGCGACAATCCGGACAGCGCCGATCTCATTCTATTTAAGGATTACATCACGCACGTGGGACGAAGATCTAACAGTCAGGTAACCCCGATGGAGTATCGATATTCTTACTACTCGGGAGAAAGCACGTCGCTTTCGCTTTCCGTCGTAATCGATCCGCCGTAAAGTCGCATTAACATAAATTACGCGAGCACAAAGAATCTATTCTTTCTTTTTCTTTCAAATGAAAATTATGCGATTTTTTTTTTGCAGGTGTGGATGCTGTATTTTTTAGAGTGCCCTTATCATACGCAGAGCGTCAAGAATGCCCTTATCAATTGGACCGCCACATATCGGCGTGACAGCGATATAGTGGCACCTTACGAGAGGTGGCAATATTATGATTCCAGTATCACACAGATTCCACAAACGTTTAATTATGCGGCAAACAAAACGAAAAAGGTAAGACAATTAATTGAGAGGATCTCGATAAAGACAATTTAATAGTCTGTGAATCAAAATGATTCCTAAGCACATTTGTATTTTCGTAGAATAAACTAAATTCGCCCAACTAATTACTATTTCTTTGTATTTCTTTAATTGAAATATTTATGTATTTAAGTCTTTTTCTCAGTGTACAATCATATAAAAAATAATTTATGAACCATAATACTATAATACCATAAAACCATCTCTTTAGAAACGAATGTCGAAAAAGGAAGCAGTTTTTATTTATTTAATTTTATTCAGTTATGAATTAAAGCGAGACCAATTTACCAAAGGAAAAGTATCAAAATTGACATATTATTTTATTTTTCGCCTCCAACCTTCTGAAAATTCAAAATAAAAATGTATATTAATATTTATTAGAAAATGCCTTTCTATTAAATTCTATTAAATTATATCTCAGTTTTAATAATATTATTTTACTTTCTTTTTTTGGGAGGGAAGAGGAAAATATTTTTTTTCCCGATTGGATGAAAATTCAGATTTGAAATATGGTTTTCTAAAACCGATACACTATATCAATTCTCCGTTGAAAATAGAAACGTTGTCTCGGTTTTAAATAGACATTAAATTCAGATTCTCTTGAGAAGTGAAAGAGGGGCACAGCAATATTCGATAGAGAACTTCTCTTCACTATTTTCTGTACTCTACTTTCTCGGCACGTAAATAATGTATGCGTTATTTCCGTTCTTACGTGGTAAACACTATCGCACGTGATGTACAACACACTCGTCCTTTTCTGCATCGCTGTTTAATCAGGTCGCCTGGTTCGTTTCCAACTGCCATCCCCGAAATCAACGCATGAATTATGCCAGGGAACTCTCGAAATACATCCAGGTGGACATTTACGGTGCGTGCGGCAGTCTACGCTGTCCGCGATCGCAGTCGCAAACCTGCTTCGACATGCTCGACGAGGATTACAAATTCTATCTCGCGTTCGAGAACTCCAACTGCAAGGACTACATCACCGAAAAGTTCTTCGTCAACGGACTCGGGTATGTACAACGATGTTTATTACTTTCTCTCTCTCTCTCTCTTTCTCTCTGTTTCTCGATAAATAAATAGAGGCACGAGGTATTCCAACGAGAACCGTAAATGCAACTCGGTCGACCAAATGCTCGATCATTTCACCGAGACGTCGGCAACCTTTGCCAACTTTTGCGGCGTCGCGTGTTTCTCGAATAAGGCGGTTGCGTGCCAAGTGGCGTTACCTAGTCTCCCCTATTCACATAATAGACAGAAACGCGTGCGACTCTCATGCGGTTTTAATTAAGATCCCCAGTGGGAGAGCGAGTTCCGAGAGAAGGCTAGGCGTACCCGATGACACGTAAGGTCTCCTTCCACGAAAAAAATACGATGCTCCCTGAAATTATCATTTTTATCACGAGTCTATTTTTTCTTCCTTCGCAGACACAACGTGCTGCCCATTGTGATGGGTGCCCATCCGACTGATTACGCTCGCAGCGCGCCGTATCGTTCTTACATCCACGTGGACGAGTTCGAGTCGCCCAAGGAGCTCGCCGAGTACCTGCATCGGTTGGACCGCGACGACGATCTGTACAACTCGTACTTTCGCTGGAAGGGCACCGGCGAGTTCATCAACACGTACTTCTGGTGCCGGGTGTGCGCCATGCTGCACGACGACCGTCTGCCCAAGTATTACAAGGACGTGAACGAGTGGTGGCGGGGCGAGGGTGTTTGCACGACCAGCTCGTGGCGCGAGCACGACCTCACGCGTTCGCAGAGTCAGCGAAATACCTGAGGAGGAAGTCGAGCGAGGATACGATCGAGAGGCTCTTCCGGCGGGGCTACGGCGAGTTCCCGTGCGTGTTGTCCGCCCGACAACACCCCGTTGCTCAATATTCTACAAACAATTCCGATTCTTCCAAAATAGAACGATGCCGAGAAGAAGTTGAGCGATATCCAAGAGCGCGTCTCGCGTCTAACGAGCTAACTCGAGAGCGAATTGATTCCGTCGTATACGACAAGTGTTGGACAGAGTTACACACAGTTCTAAGACGAGACTTAGGCGATGCGTGATCTCGCGCGTCCCAGTTTCTCGCGAGTACTCTAGCCATCCTCCCCGAAGAAGGTATTAATAAGATCCTTCGTTAGCGAGATATGTTACGCAATTTTTTTCCACTCGGCTGTTTTTCGGAGCGTTTGAAAGTTTGTGCGTTTGTGCGATAAAAAAGAGAAATTCCTTTTGTAAATGAGTATGGTTATAGGTAAACTTTCCGTTTCAAAGATGGCAGTTTACGTGCCTAATCGTCAAATCTTCCAAAATAATGTTTCTATATGGTTTTTTTTTTTCCGAACAATAAGCTGAAGCGGAAATCACGAGGGGTAATTTCACAAAAATGGTCATGAGAGGCTGTTGAGGTCGTTTTATATCATGACAACGTTTGTACGGGGAGAGGAATTTGTGACGCTCGTAAAAATTTGAGGAGCCCGTTAAAGCGTAGCGGAGACACATTGTGTGACACATATTGTAAGAATAAAACGCGATATATTTGTTCTCTAGAAGGGCTCGATTCCCGCCGCACGTTTAATAATGAACGCAACTGTCCGATAAATAATGAAACTTTTCAGAATTAGAATCACGTTTGCTATTAAATATACGATGAGAATATACGAATTAATATATATATACGGAATTACATAGAATCATTGCGGATAATCTCCCAACTACATGTATATTAGAGGACCAAGTAACAAAAAACAGAATGATTATTTAAATCTCCAGATATCGATAATTTTGGCATTAATCGCTATCAAAAAAGATTTCTAAAGAATTTCTAAAGATTTCTAAAAATAAAGCCTCATATATATAAAAAAAATTTAATTTCGATTGGATCTTGATAAAAGTTTTAGTACAGGTTTAATTATGTGAATATTTGACGCTGGAAAATTTAAACACTCGTGAATTTTCCACAAAATTTTTACTAAATAAAAATTAATCGTAAATTTATCATAAAAGCTATAGTTGGGAGAACAGTTGATTGACCTAAAACGTATTGTACGAAGAATTGCAATTCGATAATTGAGAGAAAATAAGCAGCTGCGTGATTAGTGTGTGATTTAAGAAACAGCAGCGATTACATTCGTATGTGAACCATGTGTTTTGATGGGTTTTGTGAAGTATTAAAAAGTAATTCATGCGAGCTTTTAACGCGCGAAGAGAGAAAGCTCGTAGTCGCTTTTCGTAGAGAGCGACGATTACTGTTCAGTATTTAATATTATTGTTCCCTCTTGCATGATTCTTGCGAGAGAACTTTATCGTTGTATGTTGTGTAGGTGGCAGAAAAAATTCATGTGCATTCAAGTTGCATCACGTTTCTAGCAAAAAATTCTAGCGAGAACCTTACTTTTCCGACAATAATCATATTTCCTGCATATATGCTCACATCTGTGTACACGACTGCGAATTGTAAGGGATAAATTCACGAAGATCGAATGGATATAATTTTTGAATGCAACTAGAACGTTAATTAGCATACAATTGATAATTGCATTTATACTTTTATCTCGAAATAATGTACGTTATTTATTTCGCGAAACAGGATGCATTTGTTTCTAAACTTTGTAGCATTTGTCGACATAAATAACATTGCTTATATAATAAGCTCATGGGGTATCTAAGAGCTTTTCCCCGCAAATTCTCGAGTGTACACGAATTTGATTATTTAACAAGTCATCTCATCGAAGGTTTCTCGAAGTTCACGGAGAATCTAGTCAGGAAGAAGCTAACTTGAGGAGTATTTTCGAATAATTTATGATAATAGTATTATACGCAGAGCAAGAGTACCTGTTTGAATAATTCCTATACTATATTTTTCTTTAAATTGAATTAATCTTGAATTTAATTAATTAGACTACGAGGCATCGTCGCATAAAGTAATCGTATTCACTCCGTGGCTAGTGTCAATTCGAAAAACAACGACTTCCGCTTTGAACACTAGTCTAGCTCAAATGTAGCTCAAACTTGAACGGACCTTGGTCTAGAAAAAAGACAGAGGCACTGAAAAGACAAAACGCGGAGCAAAATATATATATATGAAAAAAAAAACGCACGTAATATATATGTAAAAATCACAATTGAGTCGCCACAAGGCAGATTTAACCATCGCACTCGAACGGTTCCTACATTATAAATTATTCACAGTGCGCACAAGCAGCAACTAGATATTTAGATAATTAACTTTAATTAAATAATTAGTCGAATGACCGTACAATTCAATACCGAGAGATCTTGAATAATATCTTGAATAATTTTGATTTCTTCTTTACCATGTCTTAGTAATATTTATGTAGATTTATATTTTTCATTTTCGATATTATTTTAGACGGGGATCATTAATTTTCACACCAATCGATATTTTATGTATGTATTTAATACAAGTTACTTAAATTAATTAAAATTCCATTTTTAATCGCTTTATATAAACGGTTCGCAGAAAAAAGCATATATACATCTGGTATTATAGTATTAGATCGATAATTTATTTATATTATTTAAATGTCACGTAAACTTAAATTTTTTTTGTAAGTTCGAGATTGACATTAATTTAATGATGTTAATTTATATAATAATGGAGAATTTCAACGATATTTTTATTCGCAATTGTTAAGTTTATTAACGATTGGTGCTGCTTGTAACGATTGGTGCTGCTGTACGACGTATATGAATAATTATACGGCGACAACGACGAACTCTTGATTTTCGAACGGCCAGGATAGTACCGAATAAGTACCGAAATATAGATACGTAGGCAAGTGAAAAAGGGCGCGAAAGAATAACGCTCGATGTCGAGATATATATATATATCTATATATATCCGTGGCGAAATATGTGATAATTAAATGTCTTTGAACATACCGTAATATTAGAGTCCCTCGATGTGTGTGCGTGTATTTAATTACGTACGACGTCTATTTTTAAGCGACCTCGATCGATATTTTTTTGTCCGCCCTAAATTCAGTAATAAATATGAGATGTGTTATTACTTATTCTCTCAATAATTGCCCGTTGTCAATCTAGATAGCACGATGATTTGTAAATAATAGCATGTACGAGAACATTATGATACTCCTGTATGTAAAGAAGAAAGAAAAATGTCACCGCATGTAACGTTGAATTTGTCGATCGTGATAGGTAACAAGGCTATGCGACACAGTATTTGCTTCGATACGTAAATTCGATTCAAGTAATCGTTATATCGGAACAAGAAAGAACAATCATTTTTTACAGTTCTTTTGATATTTATGATATGATTATCTGAGAAATTACACATCACAGTTTTGAGAAATTTGAAGTTAAATAGTAAAAAAGTATTATTTTTTTTAACGCTAATATATATTTTATTTTGCTTTAAATTATGCTATATATATAAAAAAAAATTTTGTTCTCCGTAAAATTAAATATGGATATTAGAATTTTCTAAAAAAAAAAATGTCTAAAGATTAAGATTAATAAAATTTTTGTGATCAACTATGTGTCTCTATATATTATGTCGCGGGAAGATTATAATTAATTCTACGGTTGTAAAATTATTTTATAATGGTTAGTTATTATCGCAAAATTTTTTAAATTGGCATCATGGTATATTAATTTTTAAATTTATCAATTTGAATTTGTTAGTTTTGACACTAGATTTGTATTTATTGTTAGCGATATAAAGAAAAATAATATTTATATTTGAATAAATGTAAAACATTAAAAAATATTTGATAGACTATCTGTGATGTTTAATGATTTAATTTACAACTCTCTCATAATAGACGCGCAATATGTTTAATAAAAAAAATTTATAATCTTAAAAATGAAATCTTAATTAATAAAAGTTTATTAATTTTAATGTTTACATGTTCTTTTTGAAAATCAAGCATTCTGTGATGCAATATATTTAATTTTAGATAGAATAAAACTTTTCCGACACGTATTAAACTTGCGTAGCTATAACATAGTAAAGTACTTTAAAGTAGCCATTTTTTTATATGACTCTACCCTAAAATTATTTAATATTGTGATATAACACAGCATTTTGTTAGCCAAAATTGTATTCTAAATTTAAAATTGTATTATAAAAAACTACAAGATTTAATGACTCTCTGTCTTGGGTTCAGAGAAAAAAAAAAAGTTAATTTTTGTCGAACCGTAATATCGTTCTATGTAACTCATTTCGAAATCAGAGTCATTACTCGGCTCGTGATATCGGAAAGATCAATATTGAACTCACAACAGAGTATACACTCAGTGCACATGTTTAATGCATATATTGACTCGACTTTATATACCGATTTCGAAATCATAGTTATAGCGAACTGAATTCACGTATTAATTTCGAAATCAGTTGTTTCGATGTAACAATTGTGCGGATCGATTTCACGCATCGATTTCGGAATCAAATACTACTTCGCACACTCTTAGTAGATAATGCATTCAAATCAATAATAAAAATTTGTAGATAAAAACGTGACGGAGAAAAAACGTGGCTCGTTCGGGCGGAAGCGCGCTTATTATTTTTTTTATCGAGCGAAGCCTGCGCTCAGCGAGTTACGATTAGTGCCATAATGTCCTAAGAATCGTGAAGATTAATCAAAAATCGTGTCAAGTCGTCTTAACCGTTACAAGTCCACGCGTACATCATTTTTCTGCATTTAAAAACGCGACGGACACTTCACACAGAAATTATTCTAATAATTTTAGGTACGCATTCGCGCATAAAAGTTAATCATGATACAAAATTATGCAAGTACTGGTAATTGTTCGTAATTTCGTTGTTTGAAGAAAAGAATGTGAGTTTCTGTCAAGCCATTTTTTTTTATGTATGTTCTTATTTTTATGCAATAAATCGCGACGACTGAGATTCGACGAGTAGCTCATTTTTTTTCTTTTTTTTCTTTAATGACTTGGAATGTTCCAGGATTCCGTTCATGCGTTTTGAATTTTGAATGATATTCTATTGAGCGCAGCAATTAAGTTCCATGTGTTCGTATCATACAATTGTATCAATATTTATGCGCGTTCCTGACCTAAGGAATAAAAACGAACGCTATTCTTAACTCCACTCTCTTTTTTATTTTCCAACCTTTCCTTTCAGATGCAAAGATTATCTAGAAGAGAAATGATTAATTTCTTTTCTCATTTTCAGATTGCGATATATAAAATATATCTACACTATTATATAGATTTTCTAAAAAGATGCGTGAAAAATCTATTAAAATTTTTATTCATAATAAAAGATAGCTAAATATAGAATTGGAAAGGCAAAAATATGAAAAATATAGAACGTAAATTAATATTGTACATAATAATATGAAAAATTTGTCAGAGAAAATAGTGGTTTACAATTGATATTATAACGTTATATATTGTAAAATATTGATCATTAAGTCTAAATATTATAGAAAAATAAATGCAAATAGAAAAATAAATAAACAGAAAAAATTAATTAATTTTCCTCCTCTTTGTCAAAGAATTTATCTATAAATACAAAAATATCCCAACCGTAAATCGAGAAATAATTTTAATTATGATGAGAAATTCGTAAGTAGATACCTTTGTGTATGAAATATCAAAGTAAAGAAAAGTAAAAAAAAAAAATCTTTGCGAATTAATACTAATAGCAGTATAAAAGGCAAATAAAAAGCTATACCTATGTATGCCGATTTCATGTGTCCATTATCTTACGTGCAAGCAGATACATAAGTATATAAACTTCAAAGGACTCACACACAAATGCATTTCGCGTATATGTATAGAGCACACACACACGTCGAAGGAAAATAAATATATCTTAAATCTTACTTTCGAAATAATTTACGTCAAATATATTTCTGCCGCAAAGAATTGCCTCTTTTAAAATTCATTCGCTCAGATATTTAACAGCAAAATATGTAATATTTATCAAAGCATTTGGTGGATTTTGTGCAGATTTGTAGGAACAAATGTCCTGATTGTGACAAAATAAATATGGATTCTATAAACATCCTGTACATGTCATATATCACATAGGTAAATACATATATTTACCCCTATCGCTATATAGGTCAGCACAGTTCGTCGAATTTTGGAGCGATTCGCAGGAGGATCTCTCTAAGTCTTTCCGCTGTGAAGACTCCTCTTTGATTATTTATCACGTGCAATGGAGAAATCCATTACACGTATCTGTGAACTATCTCAAATATGAAGATATATAGAAATAATTGTTGGGGTCAAATTAATAGAATTACCAGCGAGTAAAATTTACAAAATTTTTTCATCATATTCTCATCGCTAAATTAATTGTCCGAATATTCAACGATGGTAATATTTCTTCAATTTCATTTAATTGCCAAAATTAAGTGTATTTAGCGTAAAGTTAATTTGCTCGTGAGTAGATTTATCGAAACGCAAATGTAGAAAAGATAAGTATGCGAGTTAACGCACTAAAATACGCGAATATATTACAGACCATTTATGTCCGAAAGAGAGAAAGAAGATAGAGTAATGCTGTGCGTTATTCTAGCAACCCCGGAAAAGTGTTCGGCCACGCGTTCATACATAGCTGCATTTGTATATATGAGAAAAGCACATATCCCGCTACTAATGGGCAATCGATTAAACTTCCTCGACGTTTGCTTGAATTTTTCACCGTGCCCTTTTTTTTTCTTATAGAACTGCCCAGCAACCTCTGGTCAAACTTACAAAGAAAAATTTAACGCGGTAGAACAATTTATGGAGATTTACAATAAAATCCCTCATTTTCTTGAAACTGAAAAAAATTTTTTGTTTAATTGCATATAAAGTTGCATTTTATACTGTGTATTATTTTTATTATTATGTAATGATTAAATCATGTTAAATTTTGATACACATTATTTTTTATCCCTATTTTATATATTTAATATATAAATATAATTTATATATTTGATTTTATATACATATATATATAATTATAT